GGCTGGAGTGAAATGGTGTGATCTCAGCTCACTGCAACCTCCGCCTCCCAGGTTCAAGCGATTCTCCTGCCTCAGCCTCCCAAGTAGCTGGGATTACAGGCGCCCACCACGCCCGGCTAATTTTTTGTATTTTTAGTAGAGCCGGGGTTTCACCAAGTTGGCCAGGCTGGTCTTGAACTCCCGACCTCAGGTGATCCACCCGCCATGGCCTCCCAAAGTGCTGGGATTACACGCATGAGCCACCGCGCCCAGCCAAAGTCACCCAACTTCTAAGTGTTAAAGCTAAGACTTGGACCTTTTGGGTATGCTTTTTTGGTGATTGGGAACTTGACTGGGCTTTCTAAACTACTCAACAAAACTTGCATTCTTTCCTAGTCAGTTTGCTTTACCTCTCTTTAATTGGTTTTTCAAATCCTTGACACTTTTTCTGAATTCTCTGTGGGATGTCTGCTTCTCTCAGCCAAGTTTTCTATGTCATAAAAGAAAGCAAGGCCAAAAGACAAGAATTCTCTCAACCCCCCTTTTTCCACTTCTGAATCACTGAAAGCAGCAGCTGTCCTTTCTATTTCTCCTCCCCTTCAAGGCTATCAGTTTGCTGCAGCAGCTTCAAAATCTCCTTTTCTACTGGATTTGTCCTCTCAATCTAAAAATATACCCAAGCATCATGACCTTGACTTTCTCTTTTCTTTAAGCTACCTCTGTATGCCTCTCCTTTCCTTCTGCACTGAATTTCCTGACAATATCTCCACTTAACTTTCAGTCTACTCAGGTCTGGCTTCTCTGGTCACTTAGGTGAAAATGCTCTAACCAAGCTATCTGATAACCTAATATAGTTGCCAAATTCAATAAATTGTTTTCATTTGCCAGCCGACTTGGCCATTGTACTAGATGAACAGTGTTAGCTGCCTCTGCTTCAAGAAACTTCCTTGTCCTGCATCTTTCATCATATCATTCTTATTTTTCCCGTCTCAATTCTTTCTTTGCTTCTTTTTCTCCTTGAGCTTTGCCTACTGTGTTCTCTCTCAGTCTTAGAGCATAGCTACCATTTAACTAGTTTCCTAAGCCAGATATCTTGGTACAAGCTGAGCATCCCTAATCCAAAAATCCAAAATCTAAAACGCTCCAAAATTCAAAACTTCTTGAGAGCTGACATGAGATAGGGGCATATTAATATTTGCTTTCTGATGATTCAATGCACACAAACTTTGTTTCATGCACAGAATTATTAAAACTATTGTGTAAAATTACCTCCAGGCTTTATGTATAAGGTGTATATTAAATGTAAATAAATTTCATGTTTAAAGTTGTGTCCTATTCCCAAGACCTCTCACTATGTACAGTACAGTATATAAATATCCCAAAGTCTGAAAAAAATCCATAATCTGAAATACTTCCAGTTCCAAGTATTTTGGATAATGGATACTCAACCTCTGCAACCTTTCACTATGTCATGGTATCTATCTCTTGGCTTATTACAATAGCCTATTACTGTAATAGTCTTCTTGGCCAGGCGTGGTGGCTCACGCCTGTAATGTTAGCACTTTGGGAGGCCAAGGCGGGTGGATCACGAAGTCAGGAGTTCAAAACCAGCCTTGCCAACATGGTGAAACCCTGTTTCTACTAAAAATACAAAAATTAGCTGGCCATGGTGACGCATGCCTGTAGTCCCACTTACTCGGGAGGCTGAGCCAGGAGAACTGCTTGAACCAGGACCCGGGAGGCGGAGGTTGCAGTGAGCCAAGATCACACCACTGCACTCCAGCTTGGGCTACAGAGTGAGACTCTGTCCCCCTTCACCCCCCCAAAAATAGTCTTTTTGCCGAGTTAATCATTTATCTATACTTCTGCCAAGAGTTTTTCATTTTAAAAATTATTGATCTGCCATATTCCTGGTTTATTACTCACCTCTAAAATCCATATATACTAACATAGCATGCAAGGCCATTCACAGCTTGCCTCAGCCCAGCTTTTTAGTCTCAACTCCTGGCATTTCCTTTCACGCACCTTCTGCCCTAAAATAAACTTTCTGCCATTTCCAAACATGCTCTTTTTTTTTTCCGAGACACAGCTTCGCTCTTTTTGCCCAGGCTGGAGTGCAATGGCGTGACCTCAGCTCACAGCAACCTCCGCCTCCTGGGTTCAAGCGATTCTCCTGCCTCACTTCTCTCAGCCAAGTTTTCTATGTCATAAAAGAAAGCAAGGCCAAAAGACAAGAATTCTCTCAACCCCCCTTTTTCCACTTCTGAATCACTGAAAGCAGCAGCTGTCCTTTCTATTTCTCCTCCCCTTCAAGGCTATCAGTTTGCTGCAGCAGCTTCAAAATCTCCTTTTCTACTGGATTTGTCCTCTCAATCTAAAAATATACCCAAGCATCATGACCTTGACTTTCTCTTTTCTTTAAGCTACCTCTGTATGCCTCTCCTTTCCTTCTGCACTGAATTTCCTGACAATATCTCCACTTAACTTTCAGTCTACTCAGGTCTGGCTTCTCTGGTCACTTAGGTGAAAATGCTCTAACCAAGCTATCTGATAACCTAATATAGTTGCCAAATTCAATAAATTGTTTTCATTTGCCAGCCGACTTGGCCATTGTACTAGATGAACAGTGTTAGCTGCCTCTGCTTCAAGAAACTTCCTTGTCCTGCATCTTTCATCATATCATTCTTATTTTTCCCGTCTCAATTCTTTCTTTGCTTCTTTTTCTCCTTGAGCTTTGCCTACTGTGTTCTCTCTCAGTCTTAGAGCATAGCTACCATTTAACTAGTTTCCTAAGCCAGATATCTTGGTACAAGCTGAGCATCCCTAATCCAAAAATCCAAAATCTAAAACGCTCCAAAATTCAAAACTTCTTGAGAGCTGACATGAGATAGGGGCATATTAATATTTGCTTTCTGATGATTCAATGCACACAAACTTTGTTTCATGCACAGAATTATTAAAACTATTGTGTAAAATTACCTCCAGGCTTTATGTATAAGGTGTATATTAAATGTAAATAAATTTCATGTTTAAAGTTGTGTCCTATTCCCAAGACCTCTCACTATGTACAGTACAGTATATAAATATCCCAAAGTCTGAAAAAAATCCATAATCTGAAATACTTCCAGTTCCAAGTATTTTGGATAATGGATACTCAACCTCTGCAACCTTTCACTATGTCATGGTATCTATCTCTTGGCTTATTACAATAGCCTATTACTGTAATAGTCTTCTTGGCCAGGCGTGGTGGCTCACGCCTGTAATGTTAGCACTTTGGGAGGCCAAGGCGGGTGGATCACGAAGTCAGGAGTTCAAAACCAGCCTTGCCAACATGGTGAAACCCTGTTTCTACTAAAAATACAAAAATTAGCTGGCCATGGTGACGCATGCCTGTAGTCCCACTTACTCGGGAGGCTGAGCCAGGAGAACTGCTTGAACCAGGACCCGGGAGGCGGAGGTTGCAGTGAGCCAAGATCACACCACTGCACTCCAGCTTGGGCTACAGAGTGAGACTCTGTCCCCCTTCACCCCCCCAAAAATAGTCTTTTTGCCGAGTTAATCATTTATCTATACTTCTGCCAAGAGTTTTTCATTTTAAAAATTATTGATCTGCCATATTCCTGGTTTATTACTCACCTCTAAAATCCATATATACTAACATAGCATGCAAGGCCATTCACAGCTTGCCTCAGCCCAGCTTTTTAGTCTCAACTCCTGGCATTTCCTTTCACGCACCTTCTGCCCTAAAATAAACTTTCTGCCATTTCCAAACATGCTC